CGAACCCTGGACCCCTGCCCAGTGAGGCGGACGCGCTAACCGGCGGTCCACCGTGCCGCCCCGTCCTCGATCCGCGTCCCATGGAATGTAGGGTCCAGTCCCCGGTCCTGGAAGAAAGAGGTCCCCAATTCTTGTTCCCGAATCGAAAGATCGACCTTGATCCACGTTAGCCGATGATCAATGATCAATGTTCCCGATTCTTAATCCAGAGCCCCCGACATTGAATTGAATTGAATACAACTTTATTGTCATGTTGTATTCCTGCTCCTGACCCGAACGCGAGACCTTGAGCCATGTAAACCACGCTCGCCATCCACAACCACCTTCACGCTCCTCTGACTTTGTCGGGATTATTGCGGGTTTCAGAATCGTGAGAGGTCGAGTGAATTTGTGGCTCGCGTGCGGTCTCGACATTCGGTATGTCAATCTTGGAGCGGAAAATCAAGGAGCGGGACCTGCGATAACCTGCGCTAACGTGCGCCGGCGCGCCGTGAGAAAGCGGCGCTCGGCGTGCCTGACGACAAGGACACTTGTTGTGCCTGCTGCTGAAAAAGTGTGCCGGTGGTCCATGTGAAGCGCTGTCCCGTTCGACTATTCGACTGAGGTACTCTTGCGCCGTTTCTGGCTGCGACGGGCAGAGCCGTCGCACAGCTCATCGCACAAGAATGTCAAGAACACTTTCCACCTCGAAGGGCAATTTACAGCCCACCAATCAGAGGAGCCTTGCTCGCGCTCCGACAGCTTCACTCTCAGAGTGCGCACGCACACACACAGAGCGGCAACAAGGACACCTCGTGGTCTTACTGAGAATGACAAGTCTCATCACTTTCTTTTACTCACTCACCAGAGCGGACAGACGTCTGGACAGCTTTAATCCGCTTTCACAAAGGACTCAGGCTCAATTTCAACTTTGAGCAAATTGGGGGAAATATTTTGGACTCGTTCTAAAAACGGGAAGATGGGCTAGCTCGGTCGAAGACGGGGTCAACGTCACTGCTAAAAGACCTGAAGTTGTTGATTTGAATCACACAATGAAAATGTCTTCTATATCTCAAGGGGAAGTGTCTTCTTCAAATTAGCAATTGTCAGCAGCCAACAGTGAATTTGGAAAAGTAAGGTAGTTGCCACTGGTATTGACGGAGAAACAAAAGAAAAAGCGAAGAAAGCAGATGACGCTGAGAATGAACAATCACGCCACAAACGTATCCTTTCACTGTTTCACCCAACGACATTCTCGATTTTCAACGCGCACCGAATCGAACAAAAACCTGAGCACAAACTGCGGATGGATTTTGTGAAACCTTAATTGATTTCCAGATTATTTTCCGTTGAACACTTCAATTTCATATTCTTTGGAGTTTTCAAATGACAAGGACGTCGAGATTTACCTGTTGTTTAAACCTACTGAATGGAATGAATGAACTCATTCTTTAGCAAGAATTCCCATCGTTGACGTTCCGTTTCTTTCTTGAGGTCGCTCTCCGACGACGGCGTTCCTTTTAACGCCGGGGGGATTTGCGCGGACGAGAATCGACCGTGAAGAAAAGGGCATTTTGGAACACAAAACAGTTTGAAGCCCTTCTGAGCGTCAATGAATGTCAAAGACAAGCTGAGCAAAGAGCGAAAATGCGGCCTCGACAGTCGCAAACTCACAGCGAGCCCGAGACAGCGAACCGAACATTTGCTTCTGCCCTCCCGAGTAAAGCAGCAGCGACCCAAACGTGTCCAATTTGCGCCGAGCCACGACCACCTGGAAGGAAGAAATGAATCAAAATGAGTCAAACGAGAGGCCCGGAGGCGGGACGACTAGCTACGGGCTAACTGCTAGCACACGTTCGCGTTGGCGAAGATGATCGAGCTCATTTCATTCCCGATCGGCACGATCATAAATCCAACCTACTTACTCGAGGGACGAAGGAAGATGCGGCTCCTTTGAAGAAAAAAAAAAACACTTTGGGGGAGCCCGCGAGTCGAGTTGTTTCGGTCGAATTTCCCACAGCAGAGTGGACGCAGGCTGAAGACCGGACAACATTGACGCGCCGACGTGGCGGCCATGTTGGTTGGGGCAACACAGAGTGACCGCGAACGTCTTCAGAACGCGCGCGGCGAGCCGCGAAACTTCATCTGGGACACGTCGCGATACAGACGTCGTCTTGGCATTAACATTTGGGATACTATGACTTCAAGTGGGCATTTTTTTTTTCTTGAACGCCATCAAGTGAAAGGGTTCACTCCGCGTTTCCTGAATTCCGGGAGAGGTTTGAATTGCAAAGGTAACTTCTTTCCAATTAAAATCGAGCAGCTGAAGTACTGCGACATCACGCTAAGCGACAATCAATCGGACGTGATCGTCATCGACACACGCGCAGACATCGCCATCCCTTTTAGTGAGCTAAAAAACAATGCACTGAGTCGGGAATCACTTCAACCGATGTCAAAAAAAGAAGAACCCCCGCCTCCAGTTTTGTTGACGACCTCTTTGGAAAAACGATTTGCTGTCAAACCGTCGTCTGGAATAAATGACGGGCGATGTGAATGCAATGGGAATAATCAAACCATCTCTCTTGAGGCAAACGCATCGGTATGGAACGAATCGACAAATCAAGGCGGCCTTATTTTTCCGCCAACGCGCCGTTCGTTCGTTGCAGTTGCTCGGAAAGCTTTGGCGGCATTCGATCTGGATTGTTTTGGTTTGACGTGTTTGCATGTCGGCGTGCCGCCTTTGCGGGTCGGCACGGCAACGGATCGAGCTTAGTGCGCGTCTTGTGTGCTTCGAGTCGACGTGAGCCGATCCGGCTAATCCCGCTTAGTGAAACGGAACCCAGAATGTCAAGGAGGATTTGCGGGCGTGTCGGCGCCCCGCTCCGCCGTTGCCCGCCAGAGGCCGCCCGTGAGCCGGCGGGCCAACTGCCGCGCTCGCTCTTCGACGTCGGCCCGGTGAGCGTCCGAACCCTCACCCGCTGCCGCAAATTGGGACATATTGGCAATTTGGGGGATTTTGTTATTGTTGTTGTTGTTGGGGAGGGGGGCTTCGTTGCTCAATCGTGTTTGCCCGTCTTATTCTGAAATTCCTTCAAATCAAATACCGGTACATGCCTGAGCACGCACGTCGTCTGGAAAGAATGCTGCCCGCAGGGCGCGCAAACCCACGAGCTCACACAGGCACGCTCAAGTCTGATTTGCGCATGCGCGGCTTGATTCCCATACGCGTGCTCGCGCACACACCCGATCACCTCTTGGCTACTCGCCGCGACGGCTTCGAGGCCTTGAGATGCGAGCGAGAATCTCAGACTGGCAAAGGGATACGAGCGCTCGCTCGCTCGCCGCTTGAGAGCGAGCGGCCGCATTTTTCGCCCCTTGAAGCGGAGGCGATTTGAACACACGGATGGACAGATGATCGAACAACAGTCATGTGCGCATATTCTCGAAGCTGCTTCTTACTGAGGATTGTAGGGTACAGGATTCTTTGGATTTTTCAGCTGATTTTTGCCAATTATTAAAGGGCGAGTCATCAGCCCGGCCAATAGAGGGCTCCATCCTTTAAGTAATTACCCACAATGCACTACCGGCGGCCATATTGGAGGGCTGTCATAAACAAGCCATACACGAGGTCTTTTCGTGTATGGCTTTTTTATGACAGCCCTCCAATATGGCCGCCGGTAGTGCATTGTGGGTAATTGCTCGAAGGACGGAGCCCTCTATAAATCAGACAAACGCGAAAACGGCTTCGTCGGGGTCCGCTTTCGATGGACTGCATATCTCACCGATGCCCCACCGAAACGCTCGGAGTGATTGACGAGCGCAGTCGGCACAGTTGCGCACGATTGTTTGATCAAACGCGGGATTTTTTTGCACGCTTGCCGTCGCGGGACTTCCGACTTGCCACGCGTGAGAATTTGCTCACGGTGAGAAGACTGCGAGGCAAAGCGTGCGGGAAGTACTCTGGGGCTCAATCAAGTCTCTGGTCATCCATTCATTTGCCTTTTTTTTTTTTTTGAGCTAAAGTTTTAGCCATGAATGGAAAGCATCGACGTCTGACAAATCGGAGCGTCATTCTTTTATTGTTTGTGAAAAAACACATGGGCAGAGGACCTTGGAACATTCAGTGGTAATTGCAAAACAGCGCCCGATGTGACGACACCCCCCCCCCCCACATGACAAAGTCTGCTTTCCACTTCTTATGCCACCAAGCAGAAAATGGTCTTTTGATCAATGCCGGATTAAAAAAAATAATCATAATCATGAAAATGCGGGGATTGGAGCTCCCGTTTAAACGGCAGCTTTACGGTTGAGGTCAGGATGTCCCGATCACGTCGAGGCCGTGTTGGCGGTTGAGCGTTTGGAGGAAGCCGCCTCGCCGCTTTTGGCCTCGGCACCAAAGTAATCACGTGGGGCGTTTCGGGGCGTCCGCAAACTAAGTTGGCACGCGCGCACGGCAATGCCAAGCCACCGAGATAAGGCGTTGACGGACGCGGCCGGCACCTCGCCGGGGTGCGGCGCAAACGAGAGCGGAGGCCAAATCCGAGCTAACGGGCGCATTTCGACACACGGCAAAGACGCCGAGCGGCGCCGATGGAGGCGCCGCTCGGGGTTACAGCTGGGTGGGGCCTCGGCCGCGCGCCTCCTCGCCGCCGGGCGGGGGCGCCGTCACCAGGCTCC